CTCCTTCTTCACCACGACAGACTAGTACATTGACCCCATTACTGCAGAAGCTGCACCGATCCACCTGTCAATCTCCTGTTCCATCCATTCTGCGTTACGAGTACTTAAAGTAAACTTTACTATCTCCCATATATGATAAATGTTCCTCTGCAGAAGATATGTTAAGCCACAGTTTTGCTCTATGTCCCAAAGTTCAAAAATATTGGATTGATATTTTCGATTTGATATCTAAAATTCTCGATATACAGTTGAAACTTGAACCTCTGCTGATCATTCTAGGAATGTCTGAAGTTGCTGTATTTTTGACCAGACCGCAGCAGTGCGTCCTCTCTTGTTGTATTATCATTGCAAAAAAGTTACTTCTTATGTACTGGAAGAAAAAAGATACACCTCCTTTAAAGTTGTGGCTTAGTAATCTCACAAATACACTTTGCCTTGAAAGAATGAGTTACATTCTCTGAGAGACTTCCCTTTTTCAATAAAATCTGGATGCCTCCAATTTTCTTACATCTACAGTTAATAACTAATCAGACTTGTATGTGGCAACTGGGGGCATGGGGGGGGATGAATATGTTTTGCTTTACGATGTTCTATTGTTTTATTTTTGTTTTTGTTACTTGTAGAGTTGAAAATAGAGCAAGAAAAGACTTCTTTATACTTCATGCTTGTACAATCTAAACCTTGCTCAATAAAAACTTGATGAGAAAAAGTACACTTTACTGATAGTACTTTAAATAACACCTTGAATACTTGACTTTCATTTGTAATGGGGTATTTGATTTATACTCTTACCCCCGCTTTAAAACCACGGTCAGACAAATAAGACAAGTCACGAAGCAGCATCAACGTTAAACATCCAGACTTTATTAATTTTAGTGCACAACGACAGTCAGGTGGAGTCACATGATCAGAGGAGCTGGACAGGAGAGCACTGAGACAGCGACAGGTAAAACTAAAACAGCTTCAACATCAACGTGCAGCTTCATGCAGCCACAGGGAAACATGCACATCTGCTACTCAGACCAACACAAGTGTCACTTCATTGATAAACTTCAGTATCAGCTGATATCAGAGTAATGAACTGGATGACGTCACCAAATCTCCAGTGTCACCAGTGTCAGAGTAAAACCTCACACAGATTCACCAGTTTCGTCCACTGAGACACAGAAGCCAAACGTGTCTCTGTCTTGGCTGAAACCCGGTGACTTTCCTGACAAGGTGCAGGACAAACATTTAATTTGATCCTTTACGTGACAAAGGAGTAGGTGGAGTGTGCATCACCTCAGTGTAAACGTTTCTTTTTATTCTGCTTGGCTGAGTCACAACTCATCATCATTTCAATCATCGATTTATTTGCTGTTTTTCTCAAATTATCGGTTTATAATTTGATTTGTAAAACTGAAAAAAGCCAAAATGCATCTTCAGATATCTCAGAGTCAAAAGCTAATGTCTGTCCTTGTTGCCTGAACAATGACAAACAATAACAAAATGTCTGCAGATGAATTTTCTTTAGGTTTTTTGTCCGATTGTTGCAGCACGGCATGAATTAAAAGCCTCCATTTCTGAGTATCAGCTCTGACGAACAGCTCAAAACTCCACAACGGTGAAACACAATCACTGGTTTGTTCAACTGGCTCACAGTTTAAACAACACAACACGTATGTGAACTAACCAAACACTGACACTAAACTCTCACAGGTTTAATAACTAGTTAATACTGATCACTAACACTCTCACATTGCAGTTATATTGACAAACACAACACCGACATGCAGCGGCTTCGGGTACCTACTGACTACAGCTGGGAGCATGCAGCTAAACCACTGAACTACTGACTGGTCAGCACATCACAGGCCAAACTACCAGTCCGCCAGCAGCCGCGCTTCACTTCCTACAGGATGTTATCAACGGAGGTTTTCCTGTTATAGATCCAAAATTTAAAATCTAATCTTTTCACACTCAGAGGTTTTATCAAACATATTGAGAGTTCATCAGACGTTTTCACATTTTTATCGACTTGTTGCTTGTTGAACGTTGTTTTTTTTACTCCAGGTTTTCTCAGTTCATCAGATGTTTCAGTCTTTTCGTTTTTCATTTTTAGATTTTCTCGACTCTTAACACGTTTTAACGGCTTGTCACAAGTTTCTTATCAGAACCTCCTGATTGGTTCTGGAGGTTGAAAGGCGGCTCCTGGTGGACCCTCAGTGCTCTCCTAAACTTCATGGGTCACCACGAGGTCACAGGATGCTCTCACGCTCTTCGCCAAAGGTGACGGTGTCGGAGGACACGGTGCAGATCTCTGGCGGGTCTCCTGGTTTCAGGCCCCTCTTCAGGTGAACCACTCGGATATTCTCGTTATTGGGCCCTGGCCTGGTGGTGGTCCCGGAGCTCGGGGGGATGATGACATCACTGGTGGTGGGGTTGGTGGAGGGGGTGGAGCCCTCTGCAGGCAGGCGGGGGCGGTTGCCCTGGTGGTTGTTGGTGTTGTTGTTGAGTGTCACATTGCTCGGCGTGCGGTTCAGGTTGTAGGTCTTGGACGAGGGCCAGCTCTCCTCGGGGCTGCTCGCCAGCAGGCTGCACTGGTCCTCGGAACAGATGGACATTCGGGCGACAGCCGGATCCTGGAGGCCGCTGAGGCTGCTGGGGAGGCCTCGCTTCCTGGCCAGGTTCTCCTCATCCAACTCGATCAGGTTGGACCTCTCCAGCTGCGACAGGTCTGCCTCCTCATCCTGCAGCGAGTGGTTGGGAGAGCTCTCGTTGGAGCGCACGCCTGAGTCAGACGAGTCCTTCTTGTCGAGCATGGCGTCTGACAGGTAGTCCTTCCCCTTCAGTGCTAGCGAGCTGCCAGGCAGTTTGGGGTCGACCATCTTCTTGCCATCTTTCAGCAGGGGGGCGTTATCGGACTCCTCTGACTCTTCGTCATCGCTGGTCAGCTTCTGGTATCGCAGGCCTCCGCCAGTCTTGAGTTTCAGGTCAGCAGCGCCCTGAAACAGCCCACCTCTTTCAGTTGAGCTTTTGCGGGTCAGCAGGGACTTGGAGGACCCGTGGTCACCCTTCTCATCCTCCTCTGTGATGGGGTCCAGGGCGTCGCCATTGGGGGTGAAGTCTGTGGTGTCTGCGGCCGGCTTGCTGCTGCACCTCTTGGTGAAGGATTTGGTTCCATCTTGCTCGACGCCATCCTTGTTTTTGTCCTCAGATGATGACATGAACTGGCCGGACAGGCCTCTCCCCCCCGCCGCCGCCCATCTCCAGCTGAGCCATCTGGGCGATGTACTCCTGGTAGGCGTTGCGGTACTCGGCCTGCTGTTTGTCCGTCAGCTTGGAGATGTCATTGGAGGACTCCTGGGAGTTCAGACTGCTCATGCTGGCAGTTCGGTGAGCACCACCCTGAGCAGAGAAGAAGAGTTTTGTTAACTCTGAGTCTCCAGTAGCAGAGAACTGAATGTAAAGTCAGAGTTAAAGGATCAGTTTCACAAACCTTTCAGTCCTAAAATGAAATGTAGAGCGGAGTGTACAAACTATTTACCATCCACTGCATGTTCCCGTGACGGGCTGGATCGTCCAGTCCCACCGTGCTCAGCTCCTCGAAGCTCAGGTTGAAGCTGTACATCACTAAAATAAGAACATCTCAGTTCTGTATGTCTGTGTTTGTACAGTTGTTTTTTTGTTTTTTTTTACCTGAACTGTCTTCAACACTGGATGACTGCGTGCCTCAGCTGTCACAGCATCAATATGCACATGTTATAGTGTGTTTGTTCTTAGCTTGAGGACCAACCGTGGCTCTGAAGAGCTGCCAGTCTCCAAAGTTCATGTTCATCTCCTTCTTCAACTCGTCGATGTTGCACTGAGACAAAACTCTGCCGTTAACGTTTGCCTGAAAAGCAGATGGAGAAGACGACATTTCATTTAAGTTGTAACACCCAGTGTTCAACGGGTTCTTTAGTCTCATGAGAAGAATCTAGAAACAGAGATTTGATTGCTGTGTGAAATCGAGCCTCTGACCTTCCTGATGGTGGCGTTGTACTGTCCCATCATGCTCTGGTCGATGCCTTCAATCTGCCGCACCCGCTCACAAACTGCCTCTGTTGTCATGGAGCTGAGGAGCATGGCCGGAGCTCCTGACACGACGGAGGCGGAACCCTGAACACAAAAACACACAGGTAAGATTCTGCACACCCAAAAAACACACACACACGGACATTAAAAATATAGTCCTTTAAAAACTCAGAAAGCTAAAGTTTGAAAGTGTTAACATGCTAAACTTGTGGAAAGTGTGAAGAGACATCCTGCTGTCAGGACTGATCCAGGTTCTGCTCTACAGTGAGTTTACAGGAGACACACAGGCTCCGCCCACATCCCAGCAGCAGTGACTCAGACCTGGTGTGTCCACAGCAGTGTGAACAGACCAGATGCCCTCAGACCAGATCTGGGCCACCTACGTATGTGCTCCTGGACCCGATTCCTCTCTGACGAGGGAGGAGCGCCGTCAGAACGGTCAGATCAGAATCCATGTGGTCATTTTAACGTCTCCTCCTCTGCACATACAGCCTGTCGTCATCATTCGGCGTCGGCGCCTCACAGACCGGTAACAGTAAACATGGAGGAGAGCGACGACAGCAACGGGGTCAGTGGAGAGACCAGGACGTTTATGGAGAAGCTTCTGATCAGGCCAAACTGGAAGGAACATATCGTAACCCAGTGGTTTGGGAGGAAACTGGGCCATTTGACCTTCGCACACACCACCTGGTTGTTATTCTTGTGCGCACGTGACTCACATTTCAGTTATACCTGTGCTACAGAGAGCTGAAATGAGCTGCAACAGTGGACATGTTTTACAGGTGGGTCTGAGGTGGGACACCTGTGACAGGGTGTGGGGGTGGGTACTGGGAAGGGTTCAAAGCCAGCAAGATGGTTACTCTGAGCAAATTAAACAGCTACTGTACTGAAGCTACACACTAGTCCAGGCAAGGTGCATGCTGGGAGTTGTAGTAGAGGGAGTTAGTTTAAAGGAGGACACAGCAAGAACAGGGAGGGAGGGAGGAAAGGAAGAGTCAGTGAGAGTTCAATACCTGCTTCCTTTTCAAAGATGAAACTTTATACTGCAGACAGACAGAAACACGGACACAGACAGGTGAGGAATGAAAACATTAGGAAAACACAGGTGGCTGACGGACAGAGCCCAGTGTGGAAACGATCGACAGTGGTGGAAAGTAACGAGGTACGTTGACTCAGGTATCACACGTAAGTACAGCTTTAATGTGCTTTACTTGGACATGTCCATTTTTTACACGTCACAGCTGAAGTGACTTCTCCAATGAAGATCCTACATAAAAACACACATTACGCTTTAAAATGTAATTTAAGATTTAACCACGTTCTCTGGCTCTGATGTGAGAGCACTGTCTGTGAATCATGTGATAAACACCCAGATTTACCTGGTGACCCTCTGGAGGGGCTCGACCCCTGGGTTGGGAACCCCTGGACTAAACTAGTTAACTGTAAATCCACCTCGGCCTGGAGCAGCTGTAACTGTAAAAGCTCTGACTCCACAGGATCAATAACCTGACCATGTCGCAGTACAACCAGTACTTTCACTTCTGATGACTTAGGTTTGCTGGTAATACTTAAGTGCTTTTACTCAAGTAGGATTTTAAATGCAGGACTCCTGGTTGTGATGGAGCATTTTCACACTGTTGTATTTGTACTTGTACTTCAGTAAAAGGATGCGACTATTTCTTCCACCACTGATGATCAGGGACAATATTCAGCAGCTCTTTTCTGTTTCACAGGAGGAAACCAAACACGTGATTCTACAAACACACACACACACACACAAACAAAAATACAAGTTTGTGTTTCCCAAGCTGCACAGCCCCAGAAACCAACGAAGAAGAGACAAGCTGAGGAAGAGTCCAGCATCAGCAACAGCAGAAGAAAAGGTGAGAAACCTGAAACCCTTGGAAGGTTTTCAACAGTTAAGATTATTTTAAAACCATAAACAGCAGCAGCTTAAAGTATTTTCTGGTTCTTTGTCAAATATCAGTAAACTGAACATCTTCAGTTTCAGTCAGTTGAACAAAACGAGACATTCTGGGAAACTGGGATGAACATTCTCATCATGTTCTAGACATTTCACAGCTGATATGTCCACGACTTGGTTAACTGTGGAAATAACAGGCAGATTATTCAATAAAGACCAATTGAAGCACAAAATCGGACTTTAAGTTTTGTTTATTATGAGTTTTTTCATTTCTATCAAGTTTTTTGTTTTCTTTCTTCTGTAAGTGGACTTTCATACAAACCTGACTGATTAGGAAACAAACTGACAAAAAGAGTAATTCTTTAAAAAAAAAACTTAAATAAAATAAATAAAATACCTCTGGCACTGTCAAACCACTAAAAGATGTGAATGGAAAGATGAAATCTTGCTAATGTGAAATAAATCCTGAGGCAACAGATAACAGAATTAATTTGCTGCACATTTTATTTACTTCTCGGTTTTGCTTTTGCATTTACATTTATTGCCTTTGTTAAATCAAAACTTCACTTTAACTAAGTTAGACCAGTTCTGTTTCTCAGTGGGTCGGCTCGGTCCTCAGTGCTTTGTCTCCGTTTCACATGTGGTGAATTGGATTCACACCATAAGACAAAATCAATTAAACTGTCACATCGCCCTCAGTCAGCTCTGATGTGAAGTGGATTCACTGGTGTGTTGTACTTACAGGCGCAGCGGTGGCGTCCCTGATGGAGGAGGTTTTAGATGGCAGGCATGGGTGAAGGTGTGATGGGTAGGAGGCGGCCACGAGTGGGCGTGGCAGCTGGTAAAGGTGATGGGGGAAATATGGCTGGGGGGGGAGGGGCAGAAAATCAAAATGTTCATGGAGATGATTCAACATGAAACAACAAGAAGGAGGCAACTTAAAAAACCAAAAGTCAAATCAAAGAGAATTGCTGCTGTCGCACTCAGAGCTCAGGTTTTTATCTCCAGACCCGGCAGGAACGCAGATGTCAGCTATACCTGACCAATCAGAGCAGAGTATGTGTAGGTCAGAGGCGCTGCTTTTTCATTCCTTTATGGAACTTTTTAGAGCCCGATATAATGAACAGCAGTGAGACAAATAAAATGGCGGACAGTAGATGTTGTGCACTGTTTCATACACAGGGAGTGATACTGGACCCAGCTATGCTGTGTGAACGAGGCAGGACCAGTCCTGGAAAACAAAGAGCTTCAGGCCAGGAACAGTTTCAGAAAATGACTCTGTGCTGGAACTGTTATTACACAGATGCAGATTACTATTGTTTAATTTTGGCACAAACTTTGCAGACATGGGATCAGAGTTCCTGCTGGGACTGCTGAGCCGACAGCTGGAGTGAAGCTTTAACAGCACAAATGATAACAGGTGAAACTAAACCAGGAGAGCAGCTGTGTGGCGGTGATGGCGACATCATGGCGTTACCTGAAGCTCCACTAGTCGGGTGCGAAGCCACCGAGGCAGCGGCAACAAATTTAGCAACTTCAACAGAACCTCAATCTCAGAATTTCAGATGGGAGCATTACCTGAGCCCGCCCCGTCACTATGCATGACATCACCAGCTGTCTGTAGGCAGAGCCTGTACTCACCCTGTTGTAGAAGGGGTGCTGGGGTCCGGCTATGCCGCTGTAGTAGCTGCTGTGAGGCTGGGGGGAGACGACACCCCCCGCTGCAGGGTTGAAGGGGCCGCTGAAGGAGGCAGAAGGCGAGCACGCCGACGAAACCTGGCTGTACACCGAGGTGGGGCGGGGCTGGGCCTCCTGCAGGGGCAGCGATGGGTACGTGACCCCACCCATCTTCATCTGTTCCCGGGCTGCACGCACATCTGGATCAGACAGGGAGAGAAAACACCAGTAAAGTAAGTAAGTAAAGGTTTATTTATATAGCACCTTTCACAGATAAAATCACAAAGTCAACAATGCAGAATGCAAAACAAACAATATGCCAACAACACCAAGAGATAATATATAAAAACCATAATAAAACTGGGTTTTTTTTATTTATTTATTTTTTTTTTATTTATGATTATTTTATTATCGAAGGATTGCATTTTAATTTCGTTGTACAATGTACAATGACAATAAAGATATATAACATAACATAACCAGTGAAGTGAAACTAAGACAGGCATAATATGAGCTCTTCTGGGGGTTCCTGTTAAAAGCCTCACTGCAGCATTCTGCACAATCTGAAGACGATTTACAGTTGACTTATTGCAACCGATAAGAAGGGAATTACAGTAATCAACACGTGCAGAGATAAAAGCATGAATAATCATCTCCAGGTCAGCCTTTAATAACATTTGCCTTAGTTTAGAAATATTCCTCAGGTGATAAAAACAATTTTTTACTACCTTTCTTACGTGGCAATCAAGAGACATAGTCTGATCAAACACAACACCAAGGTTTCTGAGGCTCGACTGGACAGAGGAGCCCAATGAACCAAGGCATTGTCTGACTGACGAGATCTTATTATCAGGCGCAATAATCAGCACTTCAGTCTTATTGGGGTTTATGTGAAGATAATTACTGTTAAACCAACTCTTGTTGGATGACAAGCACTCTAACAATGAAGCTAAAAAATACAACTCAGTCATTAAAAGAGCAAAAAATTTGAACATCATCCGCATAAAGATGATAAGACATCTTCTTAAAACGCTGAATTATCTGCCCAAGAGGATAGATATATAACAGAAATAAAAGTGGACCCAAGACTGACCCCTGTGGGACACCACATGACAAACCAGCCACATCTGACATAACATTATAGCAACATTAAAAGTTTGATCGCTTAGATACGAAGAGAACCACTGGAGGACAGATCCGGAGAACCCTAGTTCAGACTGAACCCGACCTATCAAGATTCCATGATCGACAGTGTCAAAAGCAGATGTTAAATCTAATAAGACCAGGACTGTTTAGCGGCCAGATCAGACAGTGTACAAGTGCAGTAACTGAAGCACTGTGATCTTGGCAGGTGCTGCTATTGTTGGTCGTATGAGTAGCACCAACAGCACCTGCTTGCAGTAGTTGTACTCCTCAAAATACCTAATGTCGCTGACTTTACAACTGGACTACTTGTGGTGTTAGTCCAAGTAGTAATAGCAGTACTACTTGGACTAACTGTGATCTAATATTTTTAGTAGTACTTTCAGTTGTACCTGCAATGATCTTGTGTCGTTTGTGGCAGTATTAGCAATAGTAGTATTGACAGTACTATCAGTAGTACTCCTTCAAAACCAGCAACAATTTCACTGAGTTTGTAGAAGTAACAGCAGCAGTATGGTCTTTTGGAGTGAACAATGAGTAATCGTATTGGTAGTATTATCAATAATAGATACTTTATTGTCCCCTTGGGGAAATTTGTCACAGCCAATGCTGCAGTGATTTCTCATCTTGTGGCAGTGTCAGCAGCAGTATTGGTTGTGGGATCAGTAGTAGTAGTATGAGTATTACACTACCTGCTATGATCTCTCTGAGTTTGGGGTCCAGGTTGACGGTGCAGGGCAGGAAGGTCCGGATGTCTCTGGCAGTTAGGATTGGCGTTCGTGACGACAGAAAGACCTCGAAACTGCGAACGTCTCCATCGATCTCCAGCAGCGGCTCCACGTCTTTGGTGGTGGGGATGTTCTTCGACACTCTGGGGGAGAAATACTCTGATCACTCTGTTCTGGTGCTTACGATTATTTGGATGAAGAAATGATGAAAATAGTTTGATTTGCATTAGACATAAGGCCAGTTGTCAGGGTTACACATTTAAAGACTCTCTGGGTTATTTTCCATTTCACAGTGCATGTGAAAATGGAATAAAGCATACATTTCTTGAGCTTGGAAAGATGAGTATGACCTCTGACCTCTCATAGATGGTCTTGAGTGTGGCCTGGTCGGGGACTGCGTCGGTCTCCTCCAAGTACAGGATGAGCCAGGACGTCCTGTAGGGCCACTGCTCCGTCAGGTTGATCCACGACGCCAGGCGGTCCCAGTTAAAGCTGATCTGGTTGGCTCGCAGCAGACGACCTGCACACACACAGATGGCAGGAGTCAGGTTTGTTTACTGCTGAGACGTGGATTGAAATAAATAAGCACAAACAGATGAGCTAACAGCTGCTGAGTGAAGAGAATCAGTCAGATTCAGTAGAGATGGACGAGGACAGCACGGTTTCACCAAACTGTCAGCAAACCCCTACAAATGATCACGGCACGTGTTTCTACAGTACATAATAACATGGCCGACTCACTGTAATATGTCAAAATTAAAATACTGCTTAATCAGCGAGTCTTACATTTGTGGTACTTGGTTTAAACGGTAAATGTGAATCAGCAGACCGAGCCCTGTCCCATCACACTGTTTGATCATTGTTACCATAGCGATGCCTCATCAGAACAGCCATCTCTTCCTCACAGCTACACCTTCGTTACCTTGTGGTGTGGGCTGACCTGTGACAGAGACGATGTTGAGCAGCCGCCTCATGGTCTGTGGGCTGATGTCACTGAACCAATCCTCTGTCACCATCAGCTTTGTCAGGTCGAACGACATCTGCCGGGTCACCGAGCGCTGTACCTGACGCCGCCGGTACGTGTCCTGCACACACAGGTCACATGATCACGTGCTTGCCAAACAGCTGAGTAAACATCCAGCTGCTCTCACCGTTCTGCTTTTTGCTTTCAACATGGTAACGAACAGCAGAAGCACAGTTCAGTAAAAAACAAGTCAATAAAGCTCCGTCCACATCCCAGCTGCAGTTTCCCAGACCTGATGTGTCCACAGTAGTGTGACCAGACCAGATGTCCTCAGATCAGATCTGGGCCACCTGTGTTATGTGCTCCTAGATCCGATTCCTGTCTGACCTCTGATTGTACGAGCGCACTGTCAGATCAGAATCCATGTGGTGGTTTTAACGTCACTCACAAAAGAAAGCTGAGCGACATTTTGAAAAAAATTCATATATAGAAACGTCCTGAGGTGAAATGGTTTTTGAGGTTGAGTGGAGCTGATTTAACTTAAAATAGTAAAGAGGCTGAGAGTCCGCGATGCTTTCGTCTCACTGAGTGAAAACAGCGGCTGAGATGTCTGAAGACAACGGTGTCTCACCCGGCGGTTCAGTGTCGTCTTGCTGCCAAACTTGGTTAATTCTCCCAAACTGTGCTGAGACAGTTTCCCAGCACGTCGGTCTAGCGTGCTGAAACGGGGGGGGGGGGGGGGGACAGACTCACTGCAGTCATGAACAGATGGTAATGTTCAGTTTATAAACAGTGACCTTGCTGCATTTAAACCCAAACAAATATGAATTCATTACTCACTGGAAACTTCGTTTGTAGAATCAACAGACTAAAAGGTTGGAGTTCCAGTTATTAAACCTGATGGTTAAATAAACCTCCTCTATAACTACTATTACATTATAAAGGGAAGTCATTTATAAGTTACTACAGTGAGGGTCACCTCAATCTTTGAATTCTCCATGTTCACTATAAATGGTGTAGTTCACCACTATGTGCTTTTATTTTCTCAAAGGGAAACAGTGTGAAGCACTGTTGTTGTGAGCCCTACTGTTTTGTTATCTTCGTGGTTACCGTCAGCACTGGTGGCATCCCCGTTAGCGGGCGCGGCAGCACACATCTTCCTGGCGCTGGAGAGACCTCTGCTGTTGAGGAAGACGGGCAGGTGCACGATGTTCCTCATGTAGTCATGTCCGTTGATGTTGGAGTCCCTGAGGACGCTGTTCAGGTTCTGGTTGATAGCTTTGATGATGATATGAGGGTCACTGGCAAAGATGGAGATGAAGGGGCCTTTGGAGAACAACACCCGCACCTGCAGGAGAAGAACCCAGATTAGCAGAGTGTGTGCCTTAACAGCTTCTTTAAAAACAACAAAACATGACTGTGTCTCTGTCATGGTTATTTAAATCACAGGGACACTTAGAATAATAAAATAATACTCCTATCATTTCCATACATGTTACATGGATTTGTACTTGTCACCGCCTTTTGGTCGGGGTCTGTCGTAGACTTCCTGTGTCACTTCCAGAAACACAAAATGAATCAAATGTAAATGAGGTCTGGGGTGTGTGTGTGTGTGTGTGTGTGTGTGTGTGTGTGTGTGTGTGTGTGTGTGGTCTCCTCACTGTGTGTAGCATCTGCAGAACTTTGTCCTGTTCGCAGGAGTCCAGCCCGTCGATGACGACCGCCAGCCTCGTCTGATGCTGCGTGAAGCTGTCGATGGTCTTCGCCATCCTCGCCATCAGCTCCACCTCATGCTTCAGGACCTGCAAGACGACACCCAGGTTCACGTTGGGCTAATTCTGATAACTTTCTCTATACCTGCTGCACAGTCGAAGCTCCCTGCTGGTGGCAGAACTATGTCAAAGAGCAGGAAATATCCGGTTGAATCAGCAACTGCTGAACACATCTCTGACGGGGTGATCCTTGTCCCAAGTTGCAGTTTTAGCCATACTGAGCCCTGACTGGAGGTCTAAAGCAGAGACCAGTGAGCTCAACCAGGTTCTCAATCCACACACAGGTGAATACCCCTCATTCACTGTTGGCCTCTGGATGGGAACTGGGATGGCAAATAACACAAGCATACAAAACCACCAGCTGCATCCAATGAAACCTGCCCTCACCTTCATAAAGCCCTCGCTCTTCAGCTTGTGCATCCTGTTGGCGGCGCTGTGCAGCCTCTTCCTCTGAGAGTTCAGCACTGAGTCAGTCACATGCCACCACGTCCTGCAGTTCAGCAGCAGAGCCAGCCCCACCACACTGGCGATGGCAATCAGCACAGCGTTCACTGTCCGGTTCTCCCCGTCCACCTTAAAGACAGCCAGCAGCACCATGCCAGTGACCAGACAGGCCAGCACCAAGACAAAGATGATGAAGGACGGCACACAGCACGTCTTCTTCCACTTCTTCTTCCCTGAAACATCAAATATTGGAAAAGAATCAGAGCTGTGTTACTGATTTGTGGTAAAACAGTGTGTGTGCGTTTGTGTTCTACCTTGTGTCTCCTCCGTCTTAAACACTCTGAACAGACGAGTCGCCAGGAAGCCGAACTCTCTCTCACAGGCGTCAGACAGTGTGGCGATCATCTCGGCCATCGACGTCTCTCCTCCAACGCTGGACAGACGGTTGTAGTCTGTGAACAGAAACCTGCAGGGAGATGCGATGACATCAGAGTGACATCATATGTACTGATGAAGTCATCGATAACAGAGGGCTGTTGTTGTCTGAAGACACGATGTGTAGAGCTCCAGTCACTCTGGAATTCTGTCTCTGTTGGTTTTAACATCACCTGCTCAGTGGTTTTAGTCCCCAAGCGTAATTACAGCCACAGTTTTTGTGAGGGAAATACATATTTTTGGCATCACTTGCCAAAAAGGTACATTTAATCAGTTTTAAGTGTGTAAAATATAAGTAGCTAAAACCAGGATGAAGAAAAAGTGGCATGTAAAGTGTAACTGAACTGGAAAAAATCCAAAGTCCTTCCTCCAGGTTTGTCGCAAAAGACAAATACAGGAAGAGCTCCACTGTTACTTATTCCCTGAATTCATGTTTCCAGGCTCGGTGAGAAAGTCAGCGGTGTTACCTGACAGGCAGCGCCCTGGTGCTCTGCTCCGGCAGCTCTGGTGGGTTGACAAACATCAGCTTCAGCAGCAGCTCCAGGTACCGGATGTGACGGGCCAGACGCGTGCTGAGCAGCCAGGCCCAGTTCCAGCTCTCGCCCTCCCGACGCCCACCGAAATACACCACCACTGCAACACAAACTTTATTGATACACCACCACTGAAGGAGGAAACTTTACTGATACAAGACAAGAACAGAGAACAGGCTCCTCTCAGTCCAAATGTAATGAGCCCTATCTTACCGAAGAACAGGTAGAGCAGGGCCAGCAGGCTGAGGGAGACGGCCATGGCCAGGTTGGGGTCGACGGTGAAGCTGAGGACGATGGCGACGCAGCCACAAAGCAGCAGAGATAGAAAGACAACGAGCCAGGAGAACTGGAACAATGGCTCAATCTGCTGACCAGCAAACGTCTTCATCTCATCTGACGAGGAGTCGGATGAATATTTGATTATGTAGAGAAGCAGGAACGTTAATACATGATGACCTCCACGTGTATACTAGCTTACCCTCCAGTTTCTTGAGCAGGAAGGACTTGCCGCTGCCCCACTGGGCGTACAGACCCACACATATGGGAGGCTGCATGGTGGGCTCACTCAGGATGTCGGCCAGTGCAGAGCTGTACAGGTCGTAGCCCAACATGTCTCCATCGGACTCTGTGGGGGACAGGTGACCTGCAGGGAGGGGTACACACAGGTGTGTTAACACCAGGACCCTGAAGACTCCATCTAATGTACTTCATAAAGTGATTTCTAACATTTTGGAAGTTGTCTTGAAAAAACATGGGCTCTTATTTTGAAATGAAGGCAGTGTGAGTAGATCTGCTCTTGCATGACTCTGATCAGACCTGGTGGCCTGTCACTATGACTGAAGATATTTCTGTTTGGTCAGTGATGTGCACTTTCTGCATGAAAGGTGCTACTGTGCATAAAGATGGGGCCACACATAACGACCGCTGTGCCGATCATGCCAGATGTTCCAGTGGCTGCAGACAGCAGGTCAGTGTGTTGTCCCCAGGGTTTTAGTCCTAAGGTGTGTGCTCCTTCCTGACTGTCGAGGACTACAAATCAGCTCAAGCTGGTGGAAAGTCTTTAAGTGTGAGAGAGTGAGTTTTTCTACTCATAATATCTCCTTAGACTTGTTTCTTGAGGCTGAGGAGGTGAAATTAAGAGGAAAGTCAGAAAATAGCTGAATGTTTTGATTAATCCCTGTGACCCCTGAGCTGTAATCTGGGACTGCTCTGGGAGCCCCGACCCCCACATTGGACACCACTAGTGTGAAAGTAAACCTGCCCTGGGGAGTGAGTAATGTTCACCGCCTTCAGCCAGTGTCTGTAGGGTCAGTGTTTGAGTGGACGTACGAGCTCCAAAGATCTGCGTGAGGATGCTCTTCTGGTGGCTGCAGTCGATGTTGTACGGCGTCTCTCCGGCCTTGTTGGGCCGGTACAGCAGACGGCCATCTTTGGGGTTTCTGAGGAGGAGCTCGGCTAGGCGACGGCTCCGGCCACGGATGGCGATGTGGAGGGGTGTGTCTCCTTTCTGGAATCACAGGATGAGAGGTGAGTAGGAGCTAGTTGATGTCCACCTACATGGACAAGTCAGAGCTGAGCACAGGAAACCTGGTGTGTTTCCAGTCAGAGCTTTTTGTCACGTCAGATTAAAAACAGCTGGATGGAAACACTCTTCTTCAGTTAGTGAACAAAATGAAGCACTATTTGTCTGTAGAAGACTACATGGTTCAGAAATATGTTGGTTTCTTCAAACAATATTAAGGATGAGTTGCAATAAGGCTTCATCTCAGTCCACTCGTGCGCTATACAGGCACCAGGTCTTTATCTAGCAAGTGTAAGAAAATAAGGCTTCATCTCAGTCCACTCGTGCACTATACAGGCACCAGGTCCTTATTTAGCAAGTGTAAGAAACTCAGCTGTGCTCATTTATTGCAGCTTTCAGCTGTAGTTTGACTCCCACCTTGTCGACAGCAGACACTTTGGCTCCTTTATCCAGCAGCAGCTCCACAATCTCAATGTTCCTCATCTTAGTGGCCTTGATCAGAGCCGTCTCTCCGTCCTGAGAGGGGGGGACAAACACAGCCTCACAACATCTGTCTGATCTGTGTGTGAAAACACCACACTGAGCATGCACACATTCACATCTGTAAATAAATACACTGATGACTTAAAGCTGCATGGAGCTCTTTATCAGAACTGTAAAATGGTGCAGGCAGTTCATATCAGGTGTAGTCTGTGGGAGTAGGTGTGTCCAGGTGTGCTGAGGTCTCACCTTGGTGCAGGTCTCTGTATCGGGGTTACACTGCAGGATGTCTCTCACCATGGTGGCGTTTCCTTTCTCCACAGCCCAGTACAGAGCTGTTTTGTTCTCCTGGAAACGCAACAGAGATGTGGTCACTGTCTGCGATGATCCTCACACGCGCCGCGACTGCTGCTACAGTAAGAACACTAGTAACACAAGTCCTGATCTGAGCCCAAGTGTTGATATCAGGGCCAACCTGGACATGTCTGAGCCAGTACTGGCTAGATGATCAGACATCTCCCACTGCACAGTCCGAGTGTTTCTGGATATCCAGCAGGGCTCTGAGCAACAGTGGGGTCAAACTAATAAACTAACTAATCGTCACCCAGATCCTTCTATTAGTGACTTTAGTGTTTTTATGCTCACATTTTATTAGAAAATCTTTCTTTTAACCAAAGAAGTGACAAAACTGTCAACTGTGATTAAAAAAAAGTCATGGTGCCAAACTATGTAAATTATGTACAGCGAGTATTTTTAAGTAGTACTGCATAAGCAGAGTATGCAGTACTCACGATGAAGATGGAGAAGAACAAGGAGTACAGTTGACAGAGCCAAACCAGCTGCCTTTCATCACTGAGTATGATTTTATCCATCTGAAAATGAGTCCTGCCTCAGCCTCCTATGTCTCAGAACATGTACGAGTACTGTTCGCTCACTAAAGTCATGTGCTCACTTGTCCTCTGATGTCGATGTCAGCATATTTATGCAGCAGCGCTCTGACGATCTCCACATGACCCCCCCTCACCGCTCCGATCAGCACGGTATCGCCGCTCTGCAACACACACACACACACACACACACATACAGTAATTCACAGTGCTGCAGTAATGTGAGCTGCATCGGCGCCCCCTGGTGCCTGCTG